GTTATCTGTATGGAACTTGTGAGGAAACGGAAGCCCTGAGGGGTAAAGAAGCCTGTCTGAGGTCACCCAGCTGGTAAGCAGCAGGGCTGGGGCCAGAATCCATCCTTCTGAACACCTCACATGCTCTTTGTCGAGTTAAAATTTGACTCAAATCATAATAATAAATGAATAATATTATTAGTGTTTTTACTAGTTCCCTACAGTTGTTGTAACAAATTGCCACAAACCTAGGGATGTAAACACCACAAATGTGTTTTCACACTGTTCTGGGGGTCCCAAGTCTAAAAGGGGACTTGGGCTACAATCAAGGTGATGGCAGGGCTGTGATCCTTCTGGAGGCTCTAGGGGACAGTTGGCTTCCTGGCCTTTCCCAGCTTCCGGAGGCGCCCGCACCCCTTGGCTCGCAGCCCCTCCAGGCGGCTGCATCACTACAGTGTCTGCTCTCACTCCCCCATCTCCTTTCTCTGGCTCTGAATCCTCCTTCCCCTTTCACTTATCAGGACCCCTGTGATCTTATGGGACCCCCCTGGATTACCCAGGGTAAGCACCCCATCTCACAGTCCTTAACATAATCATATCTATGAAGTCCCCTTGCTGTATCCGCTCACATGTGCTGGTTCCAGGGATGAGGATGTGGACATCTTTGGGGCAGTAGGCAGAATAATGATAAATAACAAATAATTTGCTTATAAGAGCAGCCCACAGTCTTGCTGGGACATAACTGGTAGGTCCTCGGGGCATGGTACACATGAGCTGACCGCACAGGGGGGCCAGTGTTTCTGCCCTATACTCTTAATTCACAATCTCCTATTCTGTGATTTTTTTTTTTAAGATTTTATTTGTTTGAGAGAGAGAGCCCAAGAAGAGGAAGAGAGAGGGAGAAGCAGGCTCCCTGCTGAGCAAGGAGTCCAATGTGGGACTCGATCCCAGGACCCTGGGATCATGACCCGGGCTGAAGGCAGCTGTTTAACCGCCTGAGCCACCCAGGCATCCCTGTGATGTTGTTTAATGAGTAAACAATACAGCTATGCGTGGCATGTGCATTCCAGAAGCTTCAAGAGAATCCTCAAGATAGTCGCTCTACAGTGAGTACAAAAAGGAGCCAAAGCAGATTTTTAGAGCTGGTCACAACCTCAGCTCCCAGAGTCCGATCCTCCTTACTTTCTAGGTGACGTTACTGGCCCAGAGATGTAAAATATTGGGCCCATGGTTACCTGGCAAGTCACTGGAGTAGAACCAGAACTTAAAGTCTGGTTCTACTCCAGCTGTCCCATACGCCCTCGTACGGCAGGCTGAGAGACCATGTGGAGGTGAGATGAGCTGGCCCTGCTGGGATCCCCTGAGACCAACCCAAGACTGCCAAGTCTTGACCCTGATTTCATGTTCTTTCCACGTCATACGCTTCTCTAAAAGCTGCCCCAATATGTCCACCAGAGACCACCTACTGTGGTAGCCGAGCTTGTCTATCATGCTGCGGACATGGACTTGCACCTCTGGAAGTGCGGGCTGTATGGGACAGCTTGGCAGGAACCTGTCCAGTGCAATCTTCCACACACACAAAACACCTCTGTACCCTTCTACTTTGACTTTACCATCTGCATGGATTTTGCCTCTAACACCAAGCTGCATCAAGACTGTTTCAGTATAAAAATGTTTCTTCTTTCGCCAAGCTTTTTAGAGAAAGGACACTTGGGGAAGGTGTCCCGGATTTCTACTATGGTTCCAAATACTGCCCACAAACCTGGCTGGAGCAGCACAGCCTTCTGAAAATCCTCCAGGCTTATCACTTGGCTTTAAATTATTTATTATAAGCAGGACAGCCAATTCATCTCCTAGCCAGCAATTTTCCCTTCTTTCTGACCAAATGCCTGCCTTTAAATACCTGCAAATCTCCATCTTTGCTTTGAGAGGGTTTGATGAGAATAAATGACATGAAACCTCCACCTCCAACAGGCTGCACTCCAGAAGTCAGAGGAGTCTGTTTTTTTTCTCCCCTCCTTGTTCTTACTTTTTTTTCTGTTTCTTTTTGTAAAACTCATCTGAAAAGAGGTCTAACAGACATCTGACTTGAATATGGCCTCTCTCTTCAAGTCCAGCCTATTTTTCATTAAGGAAACTCAGAGAGAAACTAGTTATGTGCAGTGTCACTTCCCCCAGAAGACCCGGAGAGGCAAAACGACTGGATAGAGGCTAATGGATAAAATGTAAATCTGCCAGAAAGGGAGACCCTCTGCGGCCTGTTGGGAAAGGCCATTCATTCCACATCTCACCAAGCCTTTGTCCTGAGCAGGCAGGGCCCTTGAACCCAGGCATCGCGGGCCATACCCAGGATCTGTACCTTATTAGCTGTGAATAAAAAGAATAGCACCAAGAATGGCAATGATCCCATCACCATTCCCGGAGATGGGCAAAGGCACGATAGGCCTGGAATGTACCGAGCGCTTCACGCCCATCAGTTAATTTTTGCATACCACCACAGGGGGCTTTTTGATTAAGCCCCTTTGCTGGGTCCAGGAAAGAGGCTGAGACAGTGAGGCAGAATGCTGCTGTGGGGCCCCACTGGCTCACAGCACCCCGAGTCTGCATCCCTGGGGGTTCAGGTCCCTCCGACATTGATGGTGCCCCTGGTCATGGGACTTGTCTTAGCCAACGGGACACTGACAAATGTGCCACGAGCAGTGACTTGGGGTCCTGCCCCCGGTACCACTCTTTGGCACTCTGAGGATCCGTGGGAAGACTGGACCGCCCTACGTATGGCAGGCTGAGAGACCATGTGGAGGTGAGATGAGCTGGCCCTGCTGGGATCCCCTGAGACCAACCCAGCTGCCAACAACCAAACAGGTGAGTGAGACCATCTGAAGTCACCCCACTGCTGACTGGTCTGCAGCCACCACGGTGTGGGAGAGAGCCCAGCACAGAGCCGCCGAGCTGGCCCACATCAGAACGGCCCCACCAGCCCAGGGAACTCCCAGCTCAGCAAAACGGTTATTGCTTGGAGCCATTACCCTCCCGTTGTTGTTGTTGTTGTTGTTTTAAATGTAGCAAAATCTAACTGATACAAAGTAATGAAATTAAGCTAGGTGAGTGGGAAAACCCAGTCAGTGTGAATGCGCAGCCCTCAGCCTTAACCACTTTACTGTTGCACGTCTCTGAGCCTCAGTGTCCTTGATGTAAAATGACAAAATAACAGTCCTTCAGCATTAGCAGGAGACCAGAGCAGAAGAAACCATGAACAGGACTGGTTAATTGTAAAACACCACATAAACTCCAATTAACATTTTCTATAGCCAACTCCTTTCTACTTGAATACCAAGACAGAGCAGTAATTTCACCCCGAGTCTGGTTATTACTAATCCTGAATATTTCCTGCCAGCAGAGCAGGGAAGGGACAGGAAGTCTTCTGCCCTGATCTTCCTCAGGCCCTCACTCTCCTGCTTACCTCTCCCTGATGTATACTTGTTGTTCAGCTCACTCCCAAAGCCTGGAGCCCGCAGCATGCAAGAATTAGCAAGGAAGGGAATTAGCCTTTAACAAGCTCACAGGTTACAACAGCATTTGGCAGACTTTATATATATATGTGTGTGTGTGTGCATATAGGCACACACATATGTATACACACACACACATATGGCATCATGTCAGCATTATGACAGCCCTTCAAAGTAGGTATTGTTATTTCCATTTTACAAATGGGGAAACTGAGTCTCAGAGCCATTAAGCAACTTGCCAGAAGTCAGTAATTGGCAAGCAGCAGAGCTCCAACACAAAGGCAGACATTTCTAATCCAAAAGCTTGTAATCTTTCCACAAATGCCTACAAGTTAATACCTTACACACTTGCAATATTTAGAAAAAAAGCAGGGTTGGTTGGTTGGTAGGCTGGTTTTAACAATATATTTTGAGGCTCCTGCTCTCTCACACCCCACAGCCAGCAGCCAGGGGCACCTTGCTGCATCCTGGCCGCCATCTTGCCCCCCATGGCTCTCTCCCCTGGACAACTGGCTCCCTGATTCCACTCCTACCCTCCTTTAAACTCTTTTCTATGCAGAAGCAGGAGGAATCTTACTGAAACACAAAACCAGCTCATGTCACATTTCTCTCAACCCTCCTCTGGCTTCCCATTGCCCTTGGAACAAATCCTACAAGGTGCTACATGATGTGACCAGCCCCTCTTCAACCTCATCTGCAACCACTGTCCCCCAGCTCATCGAGCTCCAGCCATGCTGGCCCCTCACTCTCCCTTTAATGTACCAAGCACGACTTCATCTCAGGGCCAGTACACTCTTCTCTTGGTCAAGAACCCAATTCCCCTGATACTCACTTGGTTCTCACTCTTGGTTCATTCCGGTCTCTGCTCATATGTTTCCTCCACTGAGTGGTCCTCCCTGGCTGGCCTATCTAAAATAGCCCCCACTGTCCTCCTGTCCTGCTTCATTTTTTCCTAGGGCTTGCTACTATCTACCTTATGTATCCAGTTATGTATCCATCTACCCACTAGAATGTAAGGTGCAGGGGTGGGGACTGGGGGATTTCATTCACCACCGTGTCCCCAGCATGGAGAAGAACACCAGGCACAGCAGGTGCTCCATAAACGAATGCTCAGGGAATACATGAAAGAATGAATAAGTCAGAGGCCCGGACAGGAAACACAACCCTCATCAAAAACTCCCTGGAAACCACAGACAACCTTGGAATATGAATTTTATAGTGACGATGACAAAGCAAAAGGCACCACCTACTGAAGACCATCCAGGTCTCTGGAGTTGACTTGGATGTCTCCCAGTTAGTATTTCTCAATTAGCATGCTAGGGCCTCATGAGTGGTTCATCTCATGGGACTGACCCCCTTTATGCAGACTTTTTGCATCCTTGGTCCCTGGCAACTCAATACTAGTAGGAGACCTGTCATGTGACAGCTCCAAACACCACTCTTAAACACCACCAAAAACCACTTTGAAACACCCCCAAGGATCATGACCAGCCCGCCTTGGTGAAGGCTCACCTCCATCCACGCCCATGATGAAGCGTCCCACAATGAGCATTTCGAAGGCTCCTGCCTGCAGGGAACAGGCCATCAGCAATGCAGCCGAAATCGCAAACCCATTGTTGACCAGCAGAGTGTACTTCCTGGAAAAAAAGGGTGGTTTGATGAGAAGGTCCATCATGAGGACGTCAACCTACCCATCCCAGGAGCAGGGGTCAGGCCCTTCAAAATGGTCAGCAGAGCAAGACCCAGGCACAGTAGAAAAGCATTGGTTTAAGGGTCAGGAACAGGGGCCAGAGCCCCAGGAGCCCCCACTGCCACCTTTGGCTGTGTGACCCTGACCAAGGCATTTCCTTCCTCTGGGTTCACCACCAGGGCTGATTAGGCACTGTTGCGATCTATGAACTCCCCGACGCACTACTCTATGTCACCAATTCTAAGACCTTCACTTAACATTTCTGAAGTCAACGTGTGTCTACAATCCATGAGTCAGAACTCAAGCAGGGAAATGGAAACCACTCTAGTGCTTTTAACAGAGAGAATTTAACATAGTGAGTTGGTTAGGCAGGCACTGGGGAACTGAGATGTCAAAGGGGGATCTCTGAAGAGGGGTGCTGCCCATATGGAGCTGACACTTTGGAGGGCTTGGAAGAGGGGCCCTCAACACCTGGCTTACCTCCAAGGGTGGGCAGTGGCCCACTGGGGCTGCTACTCTGAGGGGCACCATGTTCTGGGGAGTAGACATAAGCTGGGAACTAGACTCAACTGCCAAGTTCACTGCTGGGACTGGTAGGAAATTCAACCAAACCAAAAGGACCGAGCTCCTTGTCCCTCCTCCTCTAATGCCCCTCTTGTCAAAGGGCAGACGAGGCATGCAGGTCCCAGCCCCTGCACCACAGAGCAGAGCATTGAGGGTAAGTTTGGAGCTGAGAGACAATAGCTTAATAACCAGCACAGTATCCTATAGCTTTAATTGGCAGGTTTTCTCTTTCTCTTTCTCCCTCCCTCCATCCCTCCCTTCCTTCTCTGCAGTTCATGTAACAGTGTTATATGTGATGACATCTTCAATTTGATGAACTACAGCACTAACTGTGAGGCTGAACTAATCCCCTTGAACACGGTCAGCCAAACCTCTATGGCAATATTACTATTGCTTCTGTACCAGGACACCAATCACTATTCTGTGAACATATCCCTAAGACCTCATGCTTGAGAGGCATGACTTGTTTGGGGGCCTGGAGACCTGGGTCCCTGCACCAGTTGTAGCTTTTATGAGCTAGGTGACTTTGTACTTGATTGCTCTGTGTTTTCCTTTCCTCACTTACAAAATGATCATAATAGCTCACGCTTACTGAACTCTTGCTATATGATAAACCCTGTTCTAAGCACTTTACATGAATAGCTCATCTGCTGTTCAAAATGATCCTATGAGGTAGGTACTTTATTATTCCCTATTTTATAGATACGTTAACCAGGATATAGACAAACTGGAAATTTATTTTAGGTCATACAACTAGTGAGTCAAGAAGCTGGAGAAAAACATAGCTTCTCACAGGATATTTTTCCCCTAATGATTCAATGAGTTAACAAATATTAAATTATTTTTGTAAATTGCAAGAAGCTAGGGACTCCAAAGGGGACTTTGTTATTACTTTTGGGAGTTAGGAACACTTAAATTCCAGGCCGGGGCTCTTTACACTAGTTTTTACTTATCTCAAACTTTCCCTTAAACTTTTTCCCCTTCCTACATCTTCTTGGAGAATCCCAACGCTAATGACTTTTGCAGCTAGGTGATGATCGTACAGAGACTGCTCATTGCAACATCCTCTATATTGGTGCACAACTTCTAATGGTGAACAACTGAAACAACCCAAGTGTCCTTTAGCAATGGACTATTTAAGTAAATTATGACGCACTGTATAATGGCAATTATGCACACATTAAAGCACAAGTGGCTTTCTATACCCTGATATGGGAAGATCAAGATATATTGTTAAATGCAAAGGGCAAGGTACAGAACTTTGTGTATAATATGCAATAATTTGTGTGATAAAGAAGTGTGTGTATGGGGGGGGTGCATGTGTGCGTGCATGCAGAGATAGACACAAACCTTGGAAGAGATACACAAAATCGTGGCATCGCAGGTTGCCTCCAGGAAGGGGATCTGATTGGACAGAAATGCAATGGAAACTTTCTACTTGACATTCATTTGGTCCTTTTGAAAGTTATAACATATGAATGTATTAATTATTCGAAATACAAATATAATCTCCCAGTCAAAAAATTAACTCAAATGGATGTCATAGTGAGGGGAAATTATGATTTGGCCAAGACTTAAAATAGAAATTCTAATCTAGGCTGTCCACCCTTATTCCAACGCAGAAGGTCACAGACCCAGGCTTCAATATGATGAACCCTAAGGCACTAATTTCAGTTATTAGGGAGACCTCAAAGCACAATGAGAACACGCTGGTGCCCCATGTCTGTGCAGTGCTCATGGCCCTTCCCTTCAGTCTTCGGAGGAACTGACATGTCAGCCTTAAGAAGAGAGCAGGGCGGTGGTGGGAAGACCTGCACCCTCACGGCATCGAGGGCTTTCACAAGCATATCCACTCGGCAAATATTTAGTGAGTGCTAGACACTGGGTTTACCATCGGGAGTAAGTCATCCCTGTCCTCACCCACATGGGGTTTTAAATCTAGTTAGGGACACAGAAAAATACACTGTCACACAGACATCACTTAGGAGTAAAGATATTGAGGCTGAGAGTGTATAAGTGGGACCTGTGCCTGTCACTGGCCTGTCTCTCCAGGGAGTCCTTCCATGCCCTGCAGTCTCAAAGGGAACTACATTTCCCAGGCTCCCTTGCTTCCCGGCTCCCTGGTAGGACTGGCCAATGAGAGGCCTGATGTTAGTCTCTCCTGGGGAAGAGGAGAGGCTTGGTATCTCCCTCCCTGTCTCCCTGTTCCCACCGCAGCAGGTGCATCTGCTCCGTGGCCCCAGCCTTCTTTCTGTGGTGCCAGCCACCTGCCCCCCGGCACCGAGTGGGCCTGGCTCATGGGCCCCAGCAGTGCCTCCCATCCCAGGCATGGTAGCAGCTTGTCTGTGAAAAAGGGATTTCTCACAACAAGCCAAAATGTTCCCCCTGTAGCTCCATCTCTGGTCCCAGTTCTGCTTTTTGAGACCTCACAGCACAAATCCCTGTGGTTGCAGAGTCCAGTGTAAGTCAAGTTTGTGAAGAGGTTGTCGAGAGAGGGGAAGCAAGAGAGGAATGATGAGGCCAGACTCAGAGGGTTCTTGGATGTTGAGCAAAACAACATGTTCCATTACCCGTAGACAGCAAGAAATAAAGGGCTGGGTCAGAAATCAGACCTCGACTCCTATGCCCCTATTCCAGTTAAACTGGACTTTTGATGCTAGGATGATAGTCATGATATTCATAGCAATAATGTTGGCATTAGTTAGTGGTTCTCAGGGCTGGCTGCTCATCAAATCCACCAACAGCACAGAAGAAGAGAGACTCTTGGGTCCATCCCTAGAGAATCCCAATCCTTGATACAGACTCAATGAGAGACCTTTAGAAGAGTCCAGAAAGAGCATGACTTTTAAATAAATTATCTGATTTCATTCATTTCCTCTTTCACACCTGTAGCCAGCAGCATCTGTGAACTGGATAATTCACAGAGGAGGAGATGGAGGTGTTACAAGGTGGGGGCCACCCGGATGTGTCTAAAACTGCCCAGACAGGGAAGATGCGTCAGTCTCCTGTGCATGGCTGTCTGCTACCAGAGAGAATCCACTCCTCTACCCCATCATTCCCATACGAACACGGCTACTGTGTCTTGGCCCTCATCCCTCTGCAGCCACTGCCCCTTGTCTCAGCTTCCTTTTAGAGTGAAACTCCTTAAAGAATAGTGTCTGCTCGCCTCCCCTTCTTTCCTCATCCCACTTTGATTGGATCCTTGCTACCACTCCACAGAGACTGCCTTTGTGAAGATCATGAGGAACACGCACCCTGACAAACACAGCTGACAATGCTGTCTCCCCCAGGACAGCTTCTCAGCAGCATCTGATATGGTTGACCGTGCGCTCTTTCTGGAAACACAATCTTCTTGGGACATCTGGGATCCCACCCTCTCCTGTTTTCTCCCTGCCAACCTCCCCTTCTCAGTCTCAAGGCTGGTCTGTCCTCTCTCTCTACACTCTCTCCCTGGGTAATTTCACCCAGTCCTGTTACCTTAATTGATGACAATTCCCAGCTATATCTCTGGCCTGGACTTATCTCAGCCCAGACTTACATATCCAACTGCCTCCTCGGCATTTCCACTTGCATGTCCAGCAGGCATCTCAAGCCATGCGTATTTAAAATGGAACTCATGAATTCCCATTGCTGACCCCCAACAAATACATCCAAACCCCTCTTTCCTCAGTCTTCCCCATCTGAGTAAGTAAAGCCTCCACCTTCCTAGTGGCTTAGACCAAAAATTGGGGAATAATACTTCCCTCTCTTATTTTCCTTCTGACCTACGTGCAATCCATCACCGAGTCTTACTGATACTGCTTCCAAAATATATCCCAGAGCAAAGCACTTCTCCCATTTTCAGCCCAGAGTCTCGCAGTGGTGCAGACCACCGACATCTCACACTCCGACAAACTCAGGGGCCCTGGGTAGCTCCAGCTTCCACTCCTGCCCTGCCATGTAACTCATGGTCCACATAACAGCCAGAGTGATCCTTTCCAAGCAAACACTGACATACTTCCCCTTACTTAAAACCTTCTAGTGGCTTCCCACTACACTGAGGATAAACTCCTCACCTGGGCCTACAAAACCTTGCATGAGATGGCCTTTGCCACACCATCCGATACTCATGTTTTCATGCTCACAAGCCATCCTGCCATCTCTTGGGGGTGCCAGGCTGCTTCCTGACTCATGACCCTTGTCCTGGGCACCCCTCAATTCATTGTACGAGTCTTATCTCACTCAAGTGATTGAAATGCCTCCTCTGACCCTATCTGATGCAGCCACTCCCCCCAGCTGCAGGGCCCATCCCCCATAACCCTATCACCCTTTCTATTTTTCTTTGCAGCCTCGACGACACAGGTTATTAGCCCACATTTATTTGTGTTTACGTTAGCATGTGCC